ACTCAAATTTTGGAATTATAAATCAAGTTTTACTGGAACACAGCACCTTTATTTGTTTATACACCATCCATAGTTGCTTTAGCACTAGGGCAGAGCTGAATAGTCATGACAGGCATATAGCCACAAAGCCTGAAATATGTATTCCATAACCTCTATACAGAAACAGTTTGCCAACCCCCGATCTAGAGGTTCCATAACACCAATCAGATTTCTAAGCAACCATTTCCTCTACAACCCAGTGAGGACACTGCAGTACTTAGCTCTGTGTCAATGCTGAGGATCAGCAACTCTGCAGTCACTGTGGGAGATGGCCATTCTTTAAAATATCCTGGAGTTTTGTATTGTCCCCCAAAACAAAGTAGGGGCAATGGTCTTTACTGGCTAACTGGAGTATATTGCTGAAATGGGCTGGATAAATTGTTCTCAATCTTTTTTCCCTCAACAGACTAAATGATCACTCTTACTAGAGAGGTTTAGGTGATTTGAAGTAAGATCCTCTTAGAAGCCTGAAAGTTATAAAAGGAACACTCAAAGAGCAGTTGCAAAGTGACATGCTGTTCTTGCTATTGGTTGCTGCCATTAAGAAGACACTGTGCTTTTAAATTCATGATATAATTTAATTCTTCAAATAATCCTATAAGTCAAGTAACTGGTTTTATAGGCTCAGTAAGATTAAATAACTTGCCCAAGGTCAAAGAGCTGAAAAGTCAAGAGCTTAGAACTGAGTCTAGATGTACTTGAACTCAAACCTGTTGCTCTTTTCCATCACTCCATGGGGTATGACACATACTGGCAAGTCACCATACTACTCACTGGCCACCATACCAAGATTCAAGTATTTTTGTTTTTGACACTCAAGACTCACTTATATTAAAATATATTTAGTACTTATTGAATATTTATGTTAGACGTGATCCTAAATGTTTTATATATTTGTCCTCCAACCTCTAGAAGTCCTTATCTATATAACAGCCTTGTAATTAATAGCAGTTTCACAGCATTAATTTTGAATTAAATGAATGATGAAAATTTGGAAGATTTTTAATAGGTCCCATAACTAACCATGCTAAGTTTTACGCTATCTTTTTGCTATAATAAGTACTTTTTCATAAAATAAGGAGTGAGGCTCAATACTCTTAAGATCCACTCTAACTCTTTTTCTGTGAGACATGGGTGCTAAAAACGATGAAAGGAAAGTGTGAAACAATCAGCTACTGGTTGTGAATATCACAGGAAGTCTCATGAGAGGAGACTCTTGCTTAAGTCATTAGCACAATACCCGAAATGTAAGCTTGGATGTATACTTTGATATTAACAGTTGGGTAATGTTCATTTTTAAAAGACCATGCAATGCGGAAAAAGGACTAGTTTTCTTTACAGAAAGTCAAGAATTTGGATTTAGTTTGAAAACAACTTTTAAAAATACATTAAACCAAAACAGTGAGGGTAGATATTACTAACATTAGGCTTCTTCATTTGCAGCAAATCCTTCCCTGCTGATAGGCTGCTTCCTTAACTAAGTCTGTACTGTGTGCCCAGCACCTCTTTTTGTTCTCAACATCTTTGTTACAAAACAACACTTCCTTATAACACCTCACATGCCTTCTTCCCACAGCTAGGATTACACAGAAGGTAGGATATTCTCAAACTTGTTTTTTGGTACATATTGCTGTAACATGCCCTAATTTTGCATTATATTGACTGGATCCTGTATCCCCTTACTGAATGGCCCACTCATTGAGCTGCCTAAGCTACTGTGACTAAGCTACTTCTCAAGTGTCTGGTTCCCATAGAGACAGAACAGCTACCACATTGTCAGGCATTCATTTCTTTATATGCTTGTACAAGAAGGCCCAGCCTCCTACTTCCCTGACAATGGCCAGGAACATAACTAAATCTGCACTCCAAAAGAGGCAGGTCACTACTAAGCTGCCTTTAAACTGTGAGGGGACAAAAAAGATGCAAATCATTCGAATCAGCCTGCTTATTATTTTTGTTTGGAAGAATCCTGATTGAGCCACATTTTTTTTTTTTTAACGAGTCTTGATGATGAGATTTGAGAGCAAATTCTGCTCCACTCTAATGTCCCTTACAAAAGACAATATGAAGTAAGCTTTTTCACATGCTTCTGGCTATGACTCAACATCTCAGCAATGCATTCTCAAAAGCCACCCTAACAGGAAGGAATGCCTCCAGGCAGCAAGACAACAGGTTGACCAGAGTGTCCAGCACAAATAAGTCACTTAAGTAATGTACAGAAAGAAATCAATTAAGAGACTGAGGAGCTTCTGACACTGCACTGTGCACAGGTGACCAAATCTGGATCTCCAGCACTGAACAGTTCTGGCTGCCTCCTAGCCTGGTCCTAGGTGTCTCGTAGGCATATCAGTTTTGTCCAACACAAAACTTTCCATTTCTCTTCCAAATCAGATCTTCTCCATCTCAACAATTACATAGCTAGTCTCTCAGTTGTTCAGGATAAAAACTAGAAATCATTTTTCTTTATTATTGCCCACCATTCCAATCTAAATCATTTGCAAATACTATACCTGTAATATAATCCAGAATCTAATCCATTCTTTCCATCTCTACTGAGAGTGATGCAGATCACTGTTAAAGTCCCCATCTAGGTCCCAACTTTTCTTGCCCTTCCATTAATTCTCTACACATAGATAACAGTAACTTAAAAATGAAAATCACACCTTCTTACTTCTCCCTTTAAGTCCTCCCAAGACTTTGTTTACTACACTGAGATTAGCCTTCTTGATACGGCTAGGAGGCCTTTGTAAATCTGCCCTCATTCATGACCACATCTTTGTGGAGGCCTGATCTCTATCACCACACTTGGTCCTACTGGCCTCTTTTGTCCCTCAAACAGCAAACAAACACAATTTTGACTCTATACTTGCTATTTCCTTTGCTTCCAACACTTTTTCCTGATCCCAGGTCATTCAGACTTTAGGCCCAAAGTCCCGTTCAGGAAGATATTCCTCAAAAACCAGACGTTCTGCAGTTATCCTTCCACCTCATCAACTTATCAACAAAGAATAAACAAAGTCATAATTAAATAATGCAGATTATGATACTTTAAAGAATATATAAAATTGGATTTTGGAAGTTATAGGAGATAAAACTTCTTTTTTTAATCACATGCCCTACGAAGATAAAAGGGAATAGACAAAATACTATTTGATAAAGCCTCAAAGTACTAATGGTTGATGCTTTACAAATTAAACTCATGGTATCTGTAGAATATTATTCAGAGAGTGTTTTGACTATAGATTGCTAATAATCTGAATGAATATTGTAAACCAGGGGAGTCTAGGTTACATGTGAATTCCATATTCAAACCAGTAACTTATGGCCAAATCTGACATGAGATCCTAAGTTGTAGAATGTCTACCACCTAAGCTGGTCCCTTTCAATGGTTCTCTGATCACTGATAAGACAACTGCATTGATTTGGCCCTTAGAGAGAACTTTTAAAGACCTAAGACTTTCTGGATTGTTTTCAACTCTTGGTTTTTTAGGTGCCTACTGTTTTCTACAGTTTCGTGTGAGTTCTAGGCACCAGTTTTCTTCTTCGGCAGTTAGTTTTAGGCACATTATTGTGGCTCAGTTAAGAAGATCTTCAAGCCTATGCCTATTAACTATTTGTTGCTATTTGAGATATTTTATTGGCTTTTAAGTAACAATTTTTATAGAAATAAGTATAGCAATAGTATCAATAAAAGACAAAATATAAAAACAAGACAATAAAGCTAATATTTATTTTACTAATTGATTTTATTACTTCATTTCAGAAATTATCTTCATTTTGAATTGTCTTCAAAGAGAAGTTGTTTAACAATAAGATGGGATATACTATTTCCGTTCTCTCTCTGAGCAGGAGTTCAAATGATGGGATATTATTATTCTTATGAATGTGTGTATGTGTGTTTTCCAGCTTTCTTGAATTAGGTGTACCTTTAGGGTGAGGGAAACTGGATTGTGAAGCTGAAGTGATAATGTCCCCACTTTCACCTCCAGACTACATGTCCACAGCAGGGACTCAATGCATACTTAATGAAATAAATATCCACTGAAAGAATGAGTACGTGGTCCCATTTGTAATGAGAGCATTATACCTTTTATGGATATCAATTTTAATATTTATTGTAATAAACCTCTACACGTTCACCAAGACATTACAATTCTATTTTTAAAGATCCAACCAATACCTCAAGGGTCTAAGACTTATATTATATCTTAAAGGTTAAAGGTTAAAAAAAATGAGACAATGTCATATTCACAAGATAATTTCAGAAATTACCTACAGTCACTTCAAATAAGGTTTATGGCACAGGAAAGATTTATAAAAGTAACAAGCAATATACTGAAAAGAATTTTTCAGGTTCTGGGAAACCCAAATGAAATAGAAGTTTACTCATTAAAGGTGATCTGTAGTATTATTATTTACCTCCAATACACAGATACAAGCTCTAACAACTCTAACATAGACCTGTTAGTCCTATCGGCATTCAGATGCTCAAATAAATTTAGCCCCAGGGAGAAAAGGGACATATAAAAACATTCATAGTAGGGTTGTGAAAATAAGATGCCAACACTGCTAATCACTGAAGACAATAACAAGTGAAATATGTGGTCTACTGAATGAATGTTTTAGGAATAAAAGAACAGAGCATATAAAAATACAACACAAAAGATCTTTCTATGTCACCTATATATTTTAGAAAGCATTCAATTACTTTAATTCATTGGGGTCTGAAATAAGCATGAATTTAAACACATCAAGTCTATTTTATTTTTAAGACTAAAAAAACCTCTTCTGTTCATTTATGTGTTTTTGCCCTATGTATATATTTGAGCATACCAATTAAGTTATTTTCCTTTTTTATGTTTTTAATTTTTTTCACTTAAAATCCCATTCATCTGGACAAAAATAAATTCTAGGCATATTTACTCCAAAGAAATTACAAACTGATGCCTGTCGGTACTTACCCTCCCGTATCTGTTGGCGTAGGACCCCGTAAGCAAGGAGTGGAAAACAATGATTGTCTCATCCAAGTCCCAGATGAATACTCTCTACAAAGGAAGAACCAGACCAATGTCTTTGAGAAAACTGTTACCCATTAACCTCAACACAAGAATGTAGTTGTGAAAAGGGAGATAAATGAAAAACGTGAACTTATTCTTTTTTTTAAACACACCTATTCCAAAGAGCATCTCCTAGCTTTTTTTTTTAAAACCAGATACAACCTTAGATGAGCTAAGAGAATAATTATACTAGCAGCATCAATTTAAATATAGAAGAGAAATGACAATTTTTGTCTTTTCGGCTTCTGTAGTAGAATCTTAGTTTCAGTTTTAAGAAAGTAAAAATGAACTATCAGTAGTCTGAGATACAGAGGGGCAACCAATGAGATGTCACTCACTTTATCCTTTTCTTATCTCAGATTTCTGTTCATAACAAGTGTTAAAATACTGAATCTTACCATTTACTCTTATCAAGCTAAAAACTAAAATTTGCACATAGAAATGGAAACTTTACATAATGTATTTACCTATGTTATCAATTGGGCAGTTATAAAAGGGCTGAGAGATACAGTTGGCCTTTGGTATCTGTGGGTTGTACACTCAAGGATAAAAAAATACTTGGAAAAATAAATTGCATCTGTACTGAATATATATAGACTTTTTCCTTGCTATCATTCCCTAAAAAATATAGGATACAACCATTTTATGTATCATTTTATTGTGTTAGTATTAGTTATAATAAGGAGTTTAGAAGTGATTTAAAGTGTTCAACAGGACTGTATAGGGTAGATGTGAACACTGTGCCATGTATTAGGGGACCTGAGCATCTATAGATTTTCGCATTGGGAGTTGGGAAGAGGAGGCATGGAGAGGGGTCCTGCAACCAATTCCCTATGGATTCTGTGGGATGATGTGTATTTTTCTTGCCAGGTGTTTCAGTCTTCAGGTTATAGTTAACGACTTAAGCAAACACATCACTCATGCCCTTAGACACACTCTTTTGGAAGTTTGAATAGGATTTGGAGGACTTAAATTTTAAAAAGGCTTTGAGACGCTGCAAAATACATCCCAAGCCTGCTTCTCTTCATCCGATTCCTATTCACACCAGTGTATATTCATGCTATAGATGCTGATAGAAAATTTTCATCTAGTTGGCCAAA